TCACTCTTGTTTAATATTTATTTTTGTTTGTTTAGTTTGGGGAGACAGAGTAGTAGGAATTCTGTATGAAGTTTTATAGCCTCTTTGAAATATAGAGCATGAAATGATGAGATGTTGAATAATAAATGTTATATATATATACAAGATAGGCAAAAGTAGGTTTACAGTTTTGAGTATGCGAAAGTTTATTTTTTTTTTAAATATGTTTTTATTAATTTTGGAGAGGGTGAGAGATAGAAACATCAGTAATAAGAGAATTATTGATCGGCTGCCTCCTGCATGCCCCATAGTGAGGATTGAGCCTGCAACCCACGCTTATGCCCTGACCAGGAATCGAACCATGACTTTCTGGTTCATAGGTCTGTGTTCAACCACTGACCCACACTAGCCAAGCCACAGCGTTTATTCTTGTATTTATTAATTATTGTATTACTTTCCATATGACCTGTAAACCTACTTTTGCCCCAGCCTGTATATAAATTATTAGTGGACAGTTCTTTCTTTTTAATATATACTTATGCCCTGACCAGGAATCGAGCCATGACTTTCTGGTTCATAGGTCTGTGTTCAACCACTGACCCACACTAGCCAAGCCACAGCGTTTATTCTTGTATTTATTAATTATTGTATTACTTTCCATATGACCTGTAAACCTACTTTTGCCCCAGCCTGTATATAAATTATTAGTGGACAGTTCTTTCTTTTTAATATATTTTGTTGATTTTTTACAGAGAGGAAGGGAGAGGGATAGAGAGTTAGAAACATCGATGAGAGAAAAACATCTGATCAGCTGCCTCCTGCACACCCCCTACTGGAGATGTGCCCGCAACCAAGGTACATGCCCTTGACCGGAATCGAACCTGAGACCTTTCAGTCCGAAGGCCAACACTCTATCCACTGAGCCAAACCGGTTATGGCAGTGGACAGTTCTTTTGTGTTCTGTTTTTCCCTCGTCCTGCCTATGTGTCTTAATTTGGGTTAAAGTTTCAGGTGCAAGTAGTTTATTTGGAAATGCAGGAAATAGTAGAAGAAAGGAGAAGTGAGATAGGGAA